TCCGACAGTAAAACTTGCTGCTACTTTAAAATTTCTTGGACAAGGGAGCTATCAGCACCAAATAGGTAGGGCTGCCAGATATCTCTGTTGCCAAACCGGGACACTTAAGGGGAGGAGAGGCCTCTCGCTCCCTTCCCTTTCGTTTCGACGTTTCGACAAAAATTACGTACGAAAGGATGTAGTAAAATTTTATTTTGACAAACAAAAACAAAAACATAAAAACGTGCGATCATGAGATCATTACAACGTACACTAGCAAAACAAAACAATTTATCACAACTGAAGCACAGAGAATTTTTCACAATGCATGTACCTTTTTTGTTCCTTATAAAAATACAGTTAATACTAAATACATCAGAAAACATAAAAATAAGATTTCTAAATGCAATAAATTTGCATACAAATTCGCTACTTTCTATTCAGACTTTTTTATAAAAATTTTGAAAATGAAGTTTTGCAGCCCATACAAATTTAGTTGATTTTTGGTATTGTTTTTACTGAGAGTTTCTTCCATACAAACTATGTTCGACATTTTTTTGTATGTGGAAGACACTGTTAGCAAAAAATAAATAATTGCAAAAATCAACGAAATTTTCCGGTAACTTCAGACTTGCACTTTACTAATTTGCTCAAAAGCTACATTTTCAAAATTTGTGATCAGATGAAAGAGTCTCCGAGCCAATAATTTTGTACGACACGGTACTTATAAGTAATCAAAGAAAAAACATTAAATACAATGTAACATTAAAATATCAGTCATTTGTTTCGTTGCTGTGAACTTATTTCAAAACTTCTGGATTTTGCTTAGTATAATTGTAAAACTCTGTATATGTAATTTTAACGTATTTAGGTACATACTTATATTAATCATCAACTATTGCTTGTGCAAAACGTGCTAAAGTAAAAAAAAAAATCGCATATGCAAGAGCACCAACCCAACTCGTAATAAATTTAAGTATACAAATTTTAGTATTTAGTATAGAAATATTCAATTCAAATACGCCAATATTAAAATGAAGCGCTTTGCACTTAACGGATGCTTTTTCATAATTAGGTTAAAAAAAAATATTTAAATTCCATGCTGCCTGTAATGGGATTTGAACCCTGACGCTCTGTAAATTAGCAATTTGTGGTAAGCATCTTCGTGCACTCCAGACATGTGCTACAGCCAGACATGTAAATGTGCATTCAAATGTTCAGTTTGATTCAACACCACGTGTGCATGATATGAAAGTATTGTTTTTAAATACGAAAGCTTTAAAACGATAATCAAATAAAAAATATTCATGTTTACTATGCGTTATTTCCCCCAGTAAGTTCATAAAATTTTTCTTAATATTACAACGCGTTTTTTCTCTTAGTGTAGTCATTTTTATTCAAAATTTGTGCAATCAAATCGAAAACCGGGACACTTAAACGAAACCCGGGACATTTTAAGGTTGGACCGGGACACCGGGACAAATAGTCTAAAACCGGGACATGTCCGGGAAAACCGGGACGTCTGGCAGCCCTACAAATAGGGCAAGACCGTTTTGCAGGATTAGCGCAACCCATGACTTCTAAATGTATCACGGAAGTGGTCAATGCGATTGAAAAAACTTTATGTCCGAAGCACATCAAATTTGAAATGACCGTGCAAGAAAAACGTGAAGCCAAAAACCATTTTTATTCAAAATTTGGATTACCAGGAATAATAGGTGCTGTTGATGGTACACATATCCAGATGGTTAGGCCGGTAAAAGATGAACATCTGTTCTTTAATCGGAAGCTAAAGCATAACATCAATGCAATGCTGGTAAGTGTTTAATACTTACAAGTTTTTGTTCATACCTTTTCATAACATTTTTATTAGATTTGTGATCACAAGATGTACATAAGAGCTGTAAATGGAGTCTATGGTGGAGCGGCTCATGATTCTCATGTATGGAGCTTGTCAAACGAACGACAACATATGAAAGCCCAATACCAAAATTTAGACAAGTCATCTTGGATAATTGGTTAGGGACTTAATCCATATGTACTTGTATCACTTAAAGCAATCTTACACGATATGTATTTCCATATGTAAATGCTTCTTTTGTGATACAATTTATTTTATGGTACATACGAGTACATACAAAAAAGTGGCATTTGCATATGTAAATGCATATGGTGTTAAAATCCTGTGAGTAACGCAGTACTCTGTAACAAACTCTTATATAATCTGTTCTATATTCCCAAACGTACCGGTTATTACAAATTTGCATGCATTATCTTCTATTTTCAAGGTGACTCTGGATATTCATTAGAGCCATGGCTCCTCACACCTTACCGTAACACAGAAGAAAATTTCCAGAAATCTTATATAATGAAAGGTTTACCAAAGCGCGATCAATAATAGAGCGAGTGTTTGGAATTTTAAAAGGTCGCTTTCGTTGCCTACTTGCTGGAAGAGAGCTTCATTATACACCCGAAAAAGTAGTAAAAATTGTAAATGCTTGTCAATGTTATTGTGGCTTGTTAACATTTTATTTTTAATATTTTTATTGAGCTTTGTACCACGATTGTTTATTAGGAAAAATTGAAAAAGCAACAAAGTCTAAGCGGTAGAAGTTATAGCACTATTTCGGAGATCACCACATCTCCTCATCAGACTTCTTTTTC